CCTAATCCTGTTTAATGATTTAAGTCATCTGGGTGTCCCATCACTAATCAGGGGCATCCCAGTAATTTCTTGTACCTTGTACTATATTCATCTATAAATAAAGAACTGGTCGGGCTAGGATAGTTCGACATTTTTCAGCATCTCTTCTTCTTCTCCTCTTCTCTGCTACTTCAACTACAGTGGTTCAGCTTTCAAGATCTAGGTAACACTGAACATTGTTGGGTAATAGACTCAGGTGCATCTGACTATATGACTGGCTTTCCATCACTGTTCACTACCTATCACTTATCTTCTGGCAAAGATAAAGTGTCCATTGTTGATGATTCCCTTGTTCCCATTTCTGGTAAGGGAGACATCAAATTGTCTAATACCATTTCCTTATTTTCAGTTCTGCATGTTCCTAAGCTTAATACTAACTTGCTTTCAGTCAGTAGCATTACAAAACATCAGAATTGTTCAGTAACTTTTTTCCCTGACCGATGTGTTTTTTAGGACTTGGAGACAAGGAAGGTGATTGGGACTGGCCGTGAGACGAATGGGATCTATCTGCTTGGAGAGAGTTCTCAATGGGAAGATAGTGAAGATAGGAAGTCTTTTGTTTATCAGTTTGTTAGTCAGGTTTTGCTTTGGCATGATCAATTGGGTCATTTGTCCTTTCAGTCTTTGAAGAGTTTGTTTCCAAATTTGTTTGATCTGTTCAGATGTCCAATTTGAGATGTGAGAGTTGTGAGCTTGCAAAGCATTGTAGAACATCTTATTCATTGAGTAATAAAAGTAGTAATTCTTTTGATATTGTGCATACCAATGTTTGGGGCCCATATCACATCACTACTATGGGGGGATGTAGATATTTTTTGTTGTTTGTTGATGACTATACCCGTTTTTCTTGGGTTTACCTTATGCGTTCTCGAGATGAGGTTCCTGCTTTGACTCAGATCTTTCATCAGATGATTTTAACCCAGTTTGGGGTCAAAATCAAAATCTTCAGATCTGATAATGCGAAATAATACTTTACCAACTCATTAGCCTCTTATTTGCTTAATCATGGGATTATTCACCAGATTACTTGTCCTTATACACCACAACAAAATGGGGTTGCTAAGAGGAAGAATAGGCACATATTGGAGGTGGCTAGAAGCATTATGTTTAACTCCAATGTGCCTATTCATTTCTGGGGAGATGCTATTCTTACAGCGGTGTATCTCATTAATCAGGTTCCTTCACGGGTTCTTGACATGAAGCCTTCATTTTTCCTTCTATACCCTGATAAAGAATTGTTTATTGTTCCCCTTAAAACCTTTGGTTGCACTTGCTTTGTTCAAATTCTTGGACCTCATCGTTCCAAATTTGATCCTAAGGCCTCCAAATGTATTTTTCTCAGTTATGCATAAACTCAAAAGGGTTATTGCTGCTATGAACCTACTTCTGGGAGGAGATTTGTCTCGATGGATGTTACTTTCTTTGAGGAGGTACCCTATTATCTTAGGGTTTCTCCTCAAGGGGAGAGTAGTGAGAGTGGGGTTAACTCATCAGAAGTTCCTTTACCTGTTCCATTGAGTGATGAGGGATGTGATGGGGAGGGTTGTCAGAGGTGTCAGGATTTGAGAGTCTATCACAAGCGGTGGAGGCAGGTTGATTTCGGTCATCAGCAGTCCAAGCCAGCCCCAGTTCCTTTTGCGGATCCAAATTCAGGTACCACAGTTCCTTTATCAGATCTAGGTCCCACTGAGATACCTTCCACTATTGCACCCTTACCACCTTTGGATGACCTTGACCTCCCCATTGCAGTCCATAAAGGCAAACGGCATTGCACCACATCCACAACTCACTGCATTTCCCAGTTCATGTCCTATGATCGCCTGTCCCCCTCTTACGTGTCATTTCTCACATCCATTGTTGATATTCCTATCCCTAGAACAATGCAAGAAGCCTTGTCAGTTCCTGAGTGGAAAGATGCAATGAAGGTTGAAATGGATGCTCTTCTGAGTAATAATACTTGGGAGCTAGTTGACCAGCCTAAATGGAAGAAACCGGTTGGATGTAGATGGGTATTTACTGTGAAACATAATGYTGATGGTTCYATTGAAAGGTATAAGGCYCGGTTAGTTGCAAAGGGATTTACTCAGACTTATGGTATAGGCTACTTGGAGACTTTTGCTTCAGTAGCAAAGATGACCACTATTAGAGTTTTGTTATCCCTTGCAGCTAGTTACTCTTGGCCCTTGTTCTAGATGGATGTTAAAAATGCCTTCCTCAATGAAGACTTATAGGAAGAAGTCTACATGCAATTACCTATTGGATTTTATGATGCAACGACAAGAAAGAAGGTTTGTCGGTTGATTAAAGCCTTGTATGGACTAAAGCAGTCCCCCAAAGCTTGGTTTGATAGATTCAGACAAGCCCTTGAAAAATTTGGCTATGTACAGGCCCAGTCAGACCATACATTGTTCATTAAGAGAGTGGACTCTTCCTTGACTTTACTTCCTTGGTTTGATAGCTTGGTTTGCTTGCTATATATGTGGACTCTTCTTGGGTATTGAGGTAGCTAGATCTAAACATGGGATTTTTGTTTCTCAAAGAAAGTATGTTCTTGACTTGTTGGAAGAAACTGGAAAATTGGGTGTTAAGCCTGCTGACACACCTATTGAACAGAACCACAAGATCAGTGTAGAAGGTGGAGAGCCTCTTGAAGATAGAGCTATGTTCCAACGGTTAGTTGGAAAACTCCTCTATCTTTGTCTCACATGACCGGACATCAATTATGCAGTCAGCGTTGTCAATCAATATATGCACTCTCCTAGAACTACTCACCTCCTTGTAGTTGAGAGGATATTAGCATACTTGAAGAG